TTTTGTAAAATGTTGTATTTTGGACATGCTTTGTCAGTTGTCATTCAAACTTGGTACATAGATTATTTATGTTAGGATACATGTCCATGACGATTTATTTCGCAATTGGATCAAAGATTTTATGCGGTATCTTGTCAGTTTTCATTCAAATTTGGCACATACATGTACTTTATACATGTTAGGATGCATGTCCATGACAATTTGTTTCAAAATCTAGTCAAGGATGGCCGAATGACAGCCATCTGACTTTTTGGCCTTACTACTATATTTCCACAATTTATATACCATTTTCATTCGAATTTGGCACATACATCATATACATATCAGCGTGTTTCATAATCAGATCAAAGATGGCCGAATAATGGCTGTTTTTATTTTTGGCCATATTACTATTACACGGAACACGTGTTTTGATGTAAATAAACAATCTGTTGTATACGCCACTTGGAACTCAAGTTTCAAGGACACGCTCGCGACAACCCCTCCGCTTTAATATGACGAGCACAAAGAGAACTCATTTAACGGGGACTGTGTCATTTTCAATGACTTGTTGATCTAGATTTTCTAAGCATACAGTTTGTATCTTGGTGACCTTATAATTTTGTGTCACACTGAAGTTCCGGATGGTGAATGTGATTGTTGTTTCGCTTGCAATGTGCTTCTAACTTGTGTTTTATCGATGTATTCTAGAATTGATCGCTATTGTTCACATAATTAATTGCATAATTAGTGAAGCAGTAATTGATAAACCTGTTAATATTATTGCTGTAACAAGATTAGAATCTAGCTTTATTCAAAGTTGTTTGATTTCATATTGTTGTTTACGTTCTCAGGCTGTGGCGGTAACTACCATAAAAGATGTGCCTACAAGATTCCTAATAATTGTAGTCTTGCAAGAAGACACAGATCGTCATTTACCTCAAGTACATTGCCATGGCAAACAGACAGCAGTCATGTCATTGAAGAGGTAAGGATTTTTAAAGGGATATGATTTTAAGGATGGTTTGGCCATCACGCCTTTGATGCAGGATTTACCAGAAATTATGCAAAGTTGTTCTTTGTGTTTGGTTGTTTTAAAATCTAAAGAAAACACAAAATTAATGGATCTAAATTGTAGAATAGGATTGGGTTTTCAATTTGATATAGTGGGAGGGAAGAGGCTATTTGCTTTCGTGGCAGGTCTCTGCCCGGTTTAATTTTTAAAGTTAAATCAAAGACATTGGAAAGAAGAACTTTCGTTACTTTCCTTTCATGTTTGCCGCAGTTGCGTGTCCCTCTTTTTTATTGTCTTTGGTTAAATTTAGTATCAAACACAATTTATTATTTTAAAATGTGTTGCAAGTCAGGCCTCAGTACTATGAGGCAATTGGGTTATATTTTGTATTTTTCAATTGCATTGCTACTACCAAATAGATAGATAGATAGTAACATCATGAACATATACAGGATAAGATTCATTGTTGTAGCATAAATAGCGCCCTCTTGTGTCATACAATCACAAATGAGGTGAAACGTTCAACTTTCTGCCCCGCTGATTTTCTAAAAATGTGGCGGTCCTTATATACCTTGAATATAATTATTTGAAATTACTAGCTGAACCATATTAACCATATTTTTCCTTGAACCCAAAAAATGTTTTCGGCCATTTTTTTTAGCTTTCGCTGTCGATTTTGTCGAGCGGAGCTTATCATATGAGTGATTGTTCGTCGTCGTCGCCTGTGTCAATGTTTTACTTTTTCGTCTTCTTCTTGCAAAACTACAAGCCTGAATGCTTTGATACTTTGTGTGTATGTACCTTTGGTAGACCTCTCTTAGATTTGTTCATTTCATGATGATATCTTCAATTCTCTAATTTTGGTGAATATTTTTGGTAAAAAGTGATATTTTCGACTTCTTGTTAAAAACCGCATGTCCAATTGCTTTGATATAACATATATAGGTACTACATGTGGACCTCTCTCAGATTTGTTCATTTGGTGACGATATCTTTAATTCTCTAATTTTAGTGAATATTTTTGTAATTTTTGGTAAAAAGTGATATTTTCGACTTCTTGTTAAAAACCAATAGTTCAATTGCTTTGATATTACATATTTAGATACTACATGTAGACCTTTCTCAGATTTGTTCATTTGGTGACGATATCTTTAATTCTCTAATTTTAGTGAATATTTTTGTAATTTTTGGTAAAAAGTGATATTTTCGTCTTCTTGGAAAATTGCCAAAAAGAAGGGGTGTGCGTTTGTCCGGATATCCCTGGCAAAAAAAACGTGAAAATTGGCAACACGCAGATCGAACTGCGACAGGGAGTAAAACGGCCAATAAATACATGCAACAAAAATAAATGAACAATATGCAGCATTAGAAGTGTAACAAGAAATATTTTATTGCTTAGAATGTGACAAATAAACCAGAAATAATAAAAATCGATTGTGAAGATTCATTTGAATTAGAATATCCCCGCCGACAAACACGCCCCATACACGTGAATTATTTCCGGTTTTGACAAATACCTGATCAACAGCCATACAAGATCAATAATAATTTACGCAGTAAAATTAGGAAAGTTCATAGTTATTAGACAAAAACAAAACCTTCTAAGATCTCTATTTGTATGTTCATTGCTATGGTGAAAAAAGTTAACATTCAGCAAGTTATATGGATATCGCAGTGGGCTGATTTTTTTTCAAACGACAGAAGACTAATTTCCTGTGGTGAAAGATGCTAAAATAGTTGGCCTATCTTCGGCGTGACATTGCAAAATTGCTGGCCCCAGTTATGGATTCGCAAATATTTTATAAAGCCAAAACAACGAGCTTTAAACCACTCTCCCAGGTACGGTTTGCTACAATATTGCAACATTGGTTTCATTGTCGGCGACGCTAAAGCCAAGCGAGTGTGACACTTGCTTCGCGGCTCTCGATATACTGTAAGGTTTGTTTGAATCGTTTCTATTAGGAAACACAAATCTAACGGTCCTTTTCAGGGCCACGACATATTTCAAAAAAAGAACTACGATTTCTCCTTTAATATACATATTTTTGACTCGCTGGCTGTTATGTTTCTGATGAAAAATCTTAAAAAAAAATAAATGTAAACTACGTAAACAGTGGTGAACGCGCTGCTCTATTTATGTCACAGCTATTTCGTGTTCACGCTTCGTTTTACGCAATTGACATTTATTTTTCAGAATCACAACAGACTGCAAGGAAGTAAACTGTTAATACAACGAACAAAAATAGGTTTTTGTATAGGTGTAGAAAAAACACCGGAGCAATCTCAGCCGACAGGCTGCTTGTTTTAAATCAACTTGTATAGGTGGCTTTTTAATTTTTTATTCAGAAATATTCATTTTATTTCATAAAAACATTTTTTTTTTAGAATTCTGCTAAAATATATAACAGACGCACAATACAACCAGAAACATGAAAATTTTAGGGGGGGGGGCTTAGTTTGAGGTTAGCGGACATGAGTGATTGCCGCCAAAGTTTTGTATAAGTCCAAGTCAAAATCCTGGGATTATATAATGACTTGTCTTGATAATATCTCTGAGTTTGATGATATTAGCCTCACATAATTACTGTAAAGTGTAAATCTTGCCCTCCACATTCATTCAAAATCTATTTATTCATTTTATTAATAATAAACACCTTCATTTTTGCCATTTATTGCTGGGATAGGATTGACCAGCTTTGTTATTAGTCCAAGAAAAGTGTTCCCCTCATTTAATATGCAAAAATGTAGGAATGTACCAAGAAAATTGTTTTTCTGGAGTAAATTGTAGTGTATTTTACTTATGAATGGTCAAAAAGTGCATGAAGATTTTATGAAAATGTATGAATGTTAACAGTTGCGCAATAAATAATAGACTATTTTGAACGTAGCTATAAAATGTGTCACCGAAGTACTCACACGTGTGCATGATTCCATGAGTTTGTGCTGTGAAGAAACTCCATTGAAAAATAAGTATTGTGTAATTTGTAGTGAGAATGTATTCAAATAGATTTATGTTTATGAATCATGTTCCTTTTCAAAGTGTATTTATATAATAAAAAAAGTTTTTTTTATACTTTTTCGATGAATTATTTTGTTATTATTTTATTTTGTTATATTATCATTCCCATTTACTTTGTCTGTATTAGCTTCCTACGAACTTCCTATTGCCATCGGGAGTATTTCTAGTACACTTGGCGGTGTAGTGCATATCAATCTTCTTGTGTATATTATATGAAACTCACCCAAACCAGGAAATCGACGGCAAATCGGGTTGGTCTCGTCACGTAATGTCAATGTCTTTGAAATATTTGGGACAGGTAGATTTAATTTTTAATGGAAAACTTCAGTTGAACAAGTTAATTTTTCTACCTGTAATTGCATCATGTTTAATACATCTAATATAAAATCTATAATTAATTACTCGCACAGACACAGGAGTTCTTCCTCAGCTTTATTTGCATTTCTGCCTGTTCGCCAATCCATTGCTCCAAAACACACCTTTAAATACTCTTATTTTCCCAGCATCGAGATGCTCTTGTCTAATATCTGTTGTTCAATAATGATAGTCTTTTACAAAAGTGGATGGATCTTTATGAAAGATGTTTTATGAAAATTGTTTTAATGGATTTTGCTTAAATTTTTTTCTAAACTTCTGACAAAAGAAAACTGACACAAGTGAAAACCAGAAATTTGTTCTTCTTGTCCTAGGAAATTCCAATATTTGCCATTTTAAAGGGTGTAAGTTCTGTAAATCAATCAAGTCTGTTGTTGACACAAAGTACCTGATAAAAGTGCTAACGATTAACTATGGACATAATAATTGAGTGGCTCTGTTGATACAAAAAAGTTCTCATTATTAATGGCACTCGTCTGTAGTAGATAAACAGTTTTTGGAAAAAAAGACATGTAGTGGTTTTTATGTCTCTCATAACTACAGAATTGCCCACAGTATCAGAATATAGGTGTTGTATCACATCGCAGGTTCTGATTCAAGTTATTTAAAATTGCCTATTAGTTGTCAACTAGTTAATATTTGTCTTATGGTTGATACCTTGCAATGTCTAATATTGTCGTCTGTATAAAGCCTTTACAAGTTGATGCATGGTTGATGCACATTGTATTATTCTGACTCTATTTGCCATGTCATCAACAATACATTGTTCCACATACAAATCATAACCTTGTTTGTGAGCAATATTAATGCATTTTATAGCACAGATAAAAGTTGATGGTGGCAAGGTGTGCAATGGAGTACATTGAGTGTTATTTCCATCAGGTGACACTGCTTTTTTTTTACATAATTAAAGAAGATTTGTCATTTTTGTGGTGAAAATCTGGAAAAGTGTTCAATTATGTTGATATTAATTTCATTTTATTTATTCTTCATCAGAATCACATCAAGTCTGACGCACTATCACGTGACAAACGATCCACCTCGTGGAGCGGCCGACCCATTTGGGTTGAAAAAGCTGTCGCTGGCAGAATCAAAGTACCACATACATTTGCAATTCATTCGTATACCAAGCCGACTGTTTGTATGAGTTGTAAGAAGCTTTTACGTGGTTTGTTCCGACAGGGTTACCAATGTAAAGGTGAGATTCTAGTGAATGTTAATTTCAAGGTCAAAACATCACAAAATGGATTTAATTCAAATATCTTGCAATCGGGTCCGGAAGTATTGGTAACTTGCTGAAGTTTTTATGAACGAGTCAAAATGATCACAGAAGTATATTCAATTTGTAGCAGTTTTCAATGCATATTACATGATTATTATTACTTCCCCCATTATATCTTATTTGTAACAATAACGTAATATGTATTGTATTATTATTGTTTTTTCCACTGTAGATTGCAAGTTTAATTGTCATAAAAAATGTGCCGATAAAGTTCCTAAAGATTGCTTAGGAGAAGACCCCTTGAGAGAAAGTAAGTTACCAGAATGGTGATCTTATTGTTGTTCATCTCGCGTATTTGCAGACGAATTTGCATCACTATAGCTCAGCTCAAAAAACTGTGACGACAGACATTGTCTGAAACATCTTGCCAGCCCAGCTATATCTCTTGTGATTTTGTAACCTGTATCTGGTACAGTTATCAATCGATCTGTCAGGTGATTGATATTGTTGGATTGAGTCGAGCATCAAAAATAATCAACTTGAAATTCAACAATTGTTAAAATAGCAATGGTTCGATTATGGAGATGTGAATTAAAAAACATATGAACATATATGATCTGGCTGCACTCGTAGTTTACATGTACTATCAAAATGGAAGAAGACAGCTTCTATATTTTCAGAATTGGCACATCAGATAATTCACATTCAATTCTTTTTTTTCATTGCTACCTTTTCACTGTGTTAGCCGATCCAATTGCAGAAAATGTACCAGAGAACAATGGTGGTTTGGACGAGAGCGATGAAAATGAAAACGAAGAAGAAAATGATGTACTACCACGGAGCACTAACCTGGATCCGGAAACACTTCCAGAAGATGACCAGGAATTACAAAAAGTTTTAAGGTCAGTAATTGTGTGAGTGATTGCAATGATTTATTTTACTTGTAAACCAGTGAAAAAACCATGGTTTGTTAAATGGTGGTTGTATACTGAAACTTCTCAGGATAGAGTGAACCAAGTGAGTATTGGTCATTAAATCTGGGAAGAGAACAAAGCACTGGAGAGGAGCACTTGTGTTAGTATTAGGCCTGGAACTGAGCCCATTCGATGTATCAATATCATTATGCAAATGACTAAACACAGCCTCAAATCATCACAATGGTGCCCAGTTATTTAGCCAAATTTTCACACCTTTCTACATTAGTTAAAATCTTGACAGGTAAAATTATTAGTCCCTGTTCGGACGAAGTCCGAAAACGAAGACTTGTAATTCGGTTTCCGTGCGTCCGTGTGTCTGTGCATTCGTGCGTGCGTCCGTTCGTCCGGAGTCATATTTCAGAATCCCTTGGACCGATTCCGTTCATTCTTTGCATGTGCCTAGTACTTTATGTGGGACATATGCACATGCAGTGGTTTAGCGATTCGATTCAAAATGGCCGACTGGCAGCCATCTTGTTTTTTGAAAATGTTGTATTTTGGACATGCTTTGTCAGTTTTCATTCAAACTTGGTACATAGATTATACATGTTAGGATACATGTCCATGACGATTTATTTCACAATTGGATCAAAGATGGCCGACTGGCAGCCATCTTGTTTTTTGAAAATGTTGTATTTTGGACATGCTTTGTCAGTTTTCATTCAAATTTAGTACATAGATCATACATGTTAGGATACATGTCCCCGACCGTCCGTGAGTTCCTGAGTCTGTCCGTCCGACC